TTATTATATCACATAGCACTTTAGCATTTAACTCTGTTTTATTAGATTATTTACGAAGAGAATCACGACACAATGCTCGTACTTCTTGCTACTATTTCGTTGTTTTTCATCCACAATGCACAGAGTGTCATGGTAGCGAAAGCTAAGGTTCATTCAGATTCCAGTAACGTTGCTGTCGGCTGCTTGAAATTCATACAGAACGACGCTGACTCTCCAGTCATCATCCAGGGTAAATTTTGGAATATGACACCCAATACTGTTCATGTAAGTTTGAAAAACTCAGAATTACAAAGAGAAGATAAACTCAGCTTTAGAATTTGAAATCAAGAGAAATAATTGAAAAATCAAAACATCAGTGTCTGAAATTACTTAACCCTGAATAGATCGTCACTGTCACTTTAGGGTTTCCACGTTCACAGAGATCCACTGGTGAATGGTGAACTCAACTGTACAGCAGCTGGGCCTCACTTCAATCCTTACGGTGAGTTTAGTCTTGGTTGTTGGCAACCATCATGAATAATTTGTCCATCATTTTTCTCTTTCAGTTACGACACATGGTCCAATCACTGCAGATATTATGAGCCGACATGTTGGAGATCTTGGCAATGTGACTACTGATAACGCTGGTAGGATTAGCATCAATATACAAGATTCGATCATTCAATTATACAATACAACACAATCTATTGTTAATCGGACCATTGTTCTACATGCAATGCGAGATGACGGTGGTATAGGTGGTTTTTCGGACAGTAGCACTACTGGGTAGGATCTACTTTGTCTGAGCTTCAACTGAAATTAAATTCCTTTTGTAGAAATGCGGGTGCTCGAATTGCTTGTGGCAACATAGTGCTAAAAAACAAGTGGTCAAGACATTAAGTACTTACCGCTATCAATTAACTTTTTTTGATTGAACTCTTTTTACGATACATTTGATCTCATTATTCCATATATACCCTGGAAAAGATAGTTGCAATTCGTATTTCGAATATATCGTCACCAGAAGAACATAATTAAAAAAAAAGAATTACGTAGACCGAAAACCTTCAGAGTTTTCTATCACCTCGTGTATTATATTCTAGTTTGCACTCATATGTCAGAAAATAAATCGAGTATAATGAAGACATCCTTCTCATTAGATTCACATGGACTGAATTTTTGTCTCTGTTTTTTCAATTAGTTTTTCTTTAAAATTTTTCATGATTATATAAGTATCTTTTTAAAATGGTAACTAACCATTCTGATAGCACGTAAATTTCTCTATCATTCTTTATTTGGAAGCTATCGACTTTTAATATATTCCAGACTAATATTTCGAATAATGTTGATTCATCGTAATTCTAATATTCTTTTGAAACACATTTTCTTTCTCTCCAAGTAAACTAAGTACGTTGCTGTATATAATGTTTCATAGAAGAATCCTACTCTGAATACCACGAACAAGAAAAGAACTCTAGATCTCTTAAAAAGTTGTTTTGTTTCTTTTCAAGTATACATTCTACGTTCCGTAGAAGGATACTCTGTTTCCGACGATCAATTCTTAGAGATACATTCAGCAATAGCATATTGTTGGCTATGTGTTAATTGTATGAAATATTTGAATAGTCATTGACACAGCAGTCTATACTCGAAAAACTATTGATAGGTTATGGTCTAGAACGGTTTTCCAAAAAGGAATTCCTATGTTAATATATAATTATCTTTAGAACAAAGTAATTCGATAGTGATGAAAAATTTTAAAAACTAATGAAAAAGACAACGATAAAATTCAGTTCATGTGAATCTACTGATGAGGGTGTCTTCATTGTATGCGATTTATTTTTTGCCATATAAGTGCAAACTAAAATATAAATATACAGAGCGATAGAAAACTCCGAAGATTTTCGGAATATGTAATTATTTTTTTATAAATGTGTTTTAATAGTGACTACATATTTAAAATACGTGTTGCAAATTTTGTTTCCAGGGTATATATTTATATTCCTGCATCTTTTTTTGTATTTCTATTTTCTCAAATAATTGAGACAAGTTATTAAATAAATAACGAGTGAAGACTGGTTGTTTGACAATCTGATTCACCTACTATCAAGTTAGAAAAGTTCATTTTAACAATCTATGATTGCGCCAAAAATTTCCGCTTTTTGTCATTAACAGGTTAGTAGAAAGATATTAGAGAATTTCCTCTGTTACTCATTTTTTACTTTGATTAACAGATAAAAAGTGAAATGAAATGTTTGCTGTGACATACCACAGCAAACGTTTTAAGAGTACAGATCAGTGCGACAAAAACTCAATCTTGTCGAATCTTTTTCTTTTGGCAACTATGGTTGTTTTTCTGTTAAGCACGTACACTGACATTTACACTTACAACCACCTATTACAGATTGTGACAGACTGCCTGACACTCCTCCACCGGCTATGCAAGATATTTTCGATACACGATCAAAGATCGTACATCAAAAACGTCGTATCATTATGTGTAAACTAACTTATGATCCTAGTTCTGAAAGAATAAGTAAAAATATGGTTTATAAATGTGGGTGTTAGTGTCAATGTGCATATGATTATGATGTACGCTCATAAATCTATAGGATTCAAGGTTTAAGAAAATTCGGAATAATGAAATCGATACACAACTCAGTACCCATATATTAATGTCCAATGGGATGTAGGGATGGGCGTGATTGAGATGAACAATCACAATCACATCCTCGTTTTTGGTGTACGTGTTCCTCATATCAGTAGTATACATATCCCTCTCAAAACCTACAGTTCTCCATTGCCACATCACGTTCACACATGTTAGTGTGTACGTACTTTGCAATACACTTTCTTTCATTTCTGTATTATAATAGGAGTGTTTCTTCATTAGAAATGTTTTTTGCGCGTTCTCCAAACTCGACGCAACCCTAGGATAAGTAATCCACATTGTTCGCACATATCTGTATAACAATTCAAAATTTGGTTTGTTCGTCATTGTAACAGAGCGGTAAGCTTTATTTTACTTTCATTTTATTTTAACTTCATATCGCACATGTTTTACTTATGAGTTCTTTAGAAAGCACTGTTAGTGGTACAGATCAAATGTCACACGCAAATCGTATGTATTCAGTCTATGTCGAATATGAGAATTTCTGATGAGAATGAGTTGTAGCTTACTCTTAAATATTTTTCTCTGTTTTGTAGGTTCCGATCGAAATGTGTGCTACGGAAGAAATCAGTTCAAACAGAACCACCGAATTCGACACGATCTCTGAGCGTTTTCATAATGAATTGCACGTGGAATAATCGTTGTTTTTAGGCTGTTTTGTAGGCTATCACATACATAATGCTATCCTCGATAGTAGATTTTGATAATTTCAAAAATACGTTCTAATGTCATATCCATTTTACTTGTTGTGGTGTTCAATACTCATTACATTCCCTATTTTACAAAACAAGTCATAATAACTTCTTCTTTCATGCGTTATTTTCGTTTAAATATTAATTTTGGACGGTCGAAGAGAAAGATATGATCGGATTGCATGAGTAAGAAGCCGAATGTATGTTGAAACTTTTGTAGCAGTCTTTTAGTTCTCATCTATATCATTCATTAAGAAGTCGGTCAAAAAAGATGGCAAAGTATTGTTCAGTCCATCCATGACGAAAGAAGAACTAGAGTCAAAAGAAGAAAAACTGTGTTCTTATTTTTGAGACTCTTCACAGTTCTGACTATTTCGGAAGCTTTCGAAAATCATTGTAGATCGAAATTTCAGCTTGTTCCTCCTTGTCCAAGATGATGTTTTTCAAGAATCGAATGAAGAAATCATTTTAATCTTGCTGTAGTCAATAACATCATTTTGGTCATGTGACTTCTCAACTTTTTAAGATTGTATCACGTCCAATACACAGTGGTTACCAAACTTATCCAACAATCAGCCACAGTTTTTTTTTCTCATTCTACATCTCCTTTCTGGCGAAAGCTAGAGAGCTCGGGTTTCCATCAGTTTGTAACCTATGGTAAGTCTCAGCTCAATCAATCAAATAGTTCATTTTTAATTAGAAAAACAGACTTTTCATACAATTTTTATCTTCGAAAGTTATGCAATCATCTATAATAATTGAATACATTTTGCTACATTTCCAAGTATCAACGTCAGTTGCTTAGTTGATTGTTTATACGATGACGCCCGAGAGGAAGGAATATTCTTTTGACTTACGAGAAACTTATTAAACATTTTCTTAACAGTGATTCTGAGCACAAAGTTGCTAGGAAGATAATAATGCTGCGAAATTCAGTTCATTACATGATCACGAAATACAGAAAAGGGAAATGTGTGGAAAATATTATCGGCAAAGATTGACAACGTAAGACTTCGATTCTCCTTGATCGAGCTTTTACAACGAAAACTATAAGTTACTTGGCGAAAATGAACATCACCCGTGCCAACTGAGTTTAAACCCGGATTTGGAGTACTCGTTTCTGAACAAGCGTTTTGGCGATACGTGCACGAAGCCGATTTTAAGGGTCGTGTTGCTCAAAGAAAGCATACGCTGGGTAAGGTTAATCGTGGCAAATGTCTTGAGTATGCTAAAACAGATGTGAGTGTAGAGATAGATCTTATGTCGGTTGAGACACACCCACTTGAATACGAAAAATGAAAGGCTCTTTTTTGGCTGTATGTGAGCTTGGTTCTAGACACATGTATGGATGCCGTTACGGGCGAAGAAAAAAGTTATACCTACAGCCGATCGTTTATCTTATATTGTTGCTATAAGTTTTGCATAAAGAAAAAACGAGCCGTGATTGACTTATGTTTAGTAGCATTTTGTGTAGATGTATGTTGTGAATTTTCTTATTCTTTTTCTTTACTCAATAAATCTTTTATCGATACTATGATTATTATAGTAAACTTGACCATTCTTAAGCCGAGATTTTTTTAAACATTTTTCTTTTCTTTTTTCTCTCATCGTACCAAAAAATATGTATGTATTTAGTTTATTTTCGTCATAGAAATAGGTCAATCTGCCAACTCTTGCTCAGAAGTTGATTGTTTATCCTTTGGTTCATCATATTGTCTTGAAGTTGTTTTCGCTGTTTGCTTAGTGCTCACAGTTTCATGAACTCGCCGGTCATCTTTATAATTTCCTTCTCTAATTCCACCATTTTTGAATGTATATGTACCTTTTCCATGCCTTTTGCCATCTTCGAACATGCCTTCGTACTTGTCACCATTACTGTATGTCAAAGTGCCTTTCCCATGTTTATTATCTTCGTGAAAGGGACCTAAAAAGATGAGCAACGTCAAAAGCACATCGAAAGTATTTCTTCGACACTTCTCTACAAGCACTTTAAACACCGAAAAATGCTCGAGTACTGTCTAGACAGATATCACGTTCTTGAATCAAATCTCCTACTTGTTATCCTTAAACTGTAATACTTTTATTGTACTATCGAGTAACAATGAAATCCAGACATGTGTAAAATAGTACATTTCGTTTTACTCTTGTTTCAGTGTATTTTGAATTAGAACGTCAATCACTTAATTCGAAATATTTATGAGTTTTGAAAAACTGCTCAATGTCTAAAGAACAAAGGCCTGTGTGAAATTGAACTAGTTATGCTAACTATACAACATTCGCCTCACCTTTTATATTTTTTCTAAAACTACTTTCACTAAATAAGTTTCATAAAAAAAAGTATTTCAGAGCTTTTGTTCTATGGAGTCTACAATTATTTGAAGAAAGCTTGCAGAAAAGAAGTTTGAAAGGGCTAAATAGTAGTTCGCAAAGAACCACTGCACAATAAATTGATGATGAGTCAAATGACGAGTTAAACTTAGACTGGTAAACAGCTTATTTTATACAAAAGTGTACCTATTCATAACAAGTAGGCAGTGTCGTAAAAGCTTCTTCTCTGTATACTTTGAGAACTCAAAATGTGCACTGTACTTACCAACATATTTTGAACGATCAGCATACGCGTAAGTTGCGTGAGCAGATTCCATTTTATTATTTTTCCAATCTCCATCATATTCATCACCATTGGTAAACTTCATGACACCTTTGCCATGTTTTTTATCATTCTTCCACTGCCCTTTATATTCAGCCGATGGCTGCTTATAATAAGTGTATGTACCATCGCCATCTCTCTCGCCGTCTTTCCATGAACCTTTGTAGACGTCACCGTTTCTGTAGTAATGTGTTCCTTTACCATGTTTTTTATCATCTTTCCATTCACCAATATAACGACCTTGCTGAATTTGTCCTTCTATGTCATGATGTATGTAGGTACCTGTGCCATTTGGTTGTTCATGTTCATTTATTTCTCCTGTGTAAACATCCCCATTATCATAATCGATTGTTTGGTTGACTTCTTTCTTCGCCATTGTGATTTTAGTATGTATAATTGGTTAGACCTCTTGTAACTGTTAATCTTTGTAGCAGACTGCAAGAATGTAGAGAGTAAATCTGTTATGAAATCTACGCTAAAGATGTCTCTAAAATAATACTGTTTTCAATAGAAGGTAAATATTGTGGATGACAAAAGGAAGAAAGAACTTTTGTAAAAATAACCAGAAGGACCTACATTATACAGTCACGTGTCATCTTAATAATAGCTGATTTCGTATGATGCAAAACTTGGAGAAAATAAAAAAAGCATAAGAAGATAAAAAGAAAGAAAGATCGAAAAAACAAGGACAAAAATGCCACATTCGCACAGTTTTAAAATACATCTAGTAATCTTTCTTCTTTTACGTCACATAATACGATTTGTTCTGTTCAATATTTTCCGATCTAAAAATTTCATTTCCAGCACTATCGAATAAATGTCGAGCACCCATTGATAGAGAAAGCTTTTGAGTAGCTTCGGCTAAAATCTGTACAGAATGAAAAAAGAAGACAATGAAGATTAAATGTTTCTATGTGAATTTAAGAAAAGCAATGTCTTACCGTATTTATCGAACATGATTTACAATACACGCATCGAGAAAGGTCATTGTTTTTGTAAACTCGAACATAAAAATTCCTTGTAGGATAATAGCTTCGACCAATGGGAACATGAGGCTGCCTTGAACTGTCAAATAGAATAAAGATGCAACATTTAAAGTCGCATTGTGGATCAAGTTCTTTCTCTGATGAAATATTAGGTGTTTGTATTGATCAATTTCATTTTCCTAAAAGAACTATAGAGACCACGTACCGCGCCTCTTGCTCGATCTGTTTCATGTGCTTTAATCAAGAGCAATTTTTATGTTTATGATATGGCATATGAATTAACCAGAAATCTTTCGGCTGATCAAACAAAATCTCCGTTGAATAGTATTGTACCTTGGTCTCATTGACAAATACGCAGTTCAGAGGCATCTGAACTCTTATTTCTCGAACTATTGCAAACAATTAACAGAGCACGAATCAAAACTTCATACCTTTTCCTACGTATTAAATTTGTTGGTGTTTTACTTTCATCTGGATTCTCACGCTGAGAAATACGTATTGGGTTTTTTCGGTTCATTTCTTTGAATAGTTTAGCCGAATCCGGTTTCTCTATTTGAGGTATGTGTCTTCTTTTGTCACGTTTGTTACCAGTTATCCGAACCTTCGCGAGATCAGGAACCTCTATTTGAACATAATGGTTTGAGTTCTCTGTTTGAGTACTTCGAGCTGTTGAAAAAACACGATCCTTCATCACTAAATCCTGTAAATGAGGACATTTGTGATGTTTAGGAAAGTCAAGAGTTTCCGTCTGAGGTACGTGCCAATTTGCTTGTGTAGATTGAGAGTGTAGGAACCGGTTTGGTTGATCAGGATTTTCAAAGTGCACCTTCGGTCCCGGCCAATCACTTTCATTCTTTAATATTGGTTCTTTCAATAAGTCGGGATTTTCATCGATAACATGGGGTGGCTCATGTGCAGAATCTTCGCTGTTCTTCGATTTCGGTTCATTATACAAATTCGGATGTTCATCTTGAGGTTCGATAGCTCGCCATGTATCTGTTCTGTTTGCGAAAGTAGGCTCTTTAGCTAAAATCGACACATGTCAAAACAAAACGAATTAATTTTTACATGCTCATCATCTCAAACAAACTTACGAGCAGTCTTCACCTGTACATGATTGCGCGAGCATCATTTTAGTCAACCTACTAGGGCCCTGCGGGAACGACTTTTTCCCGTGTTTTCCCGTCCCGTTTCCCGCGGGAATCGGGAACGGGAATTCCCGTGAGACCTTAGGAACGGGAATGCGGGAACGGGAATTCTGGTGGACACTCCGGGAACGGGAACACGGGAACGGGAATTGTATTAAAAATTTCTGTTCCCGGCAAACCCTATGTCCGATTTCTGTTTGCATTAAAATCTGTTAATCTTACAGTATTCGATTTCCAATAACTATTTGAAATATAATTGAAAAGAGAACAAATATCAGTCAACAAAATCAGACAAGTTCATTCAAACATAGATTATGAGAATCACGATATTCTTTACCATCATCGTCGTCGGCATCGAAGTTGGGATCATCAAGATTACATATATGTCAAACTTGAAACTTGAATTCAATTGAAATTTCAAGTTTCAACTGAAATTTCAAGTTTCAACTGGAATTTCAAATTTCAACTGAAATTTCAAGTTTCAAGTTTCAATAGGTTTATGAGCCTTGAATCAGAAATTTACTTTTAATATACGGAATCTTGTATTGTGAGAAACATGATGTCGCTAAAAGCTAGTATCAAGTAGCAGTAATGTTGATGAATGTGAATAATGAAATCATTGTAGCTATTCTCAAAGCATTACGGGAACGGGAATACGGAACGGGAACGAAAATTTTGTTACGGGAACGGGAACACGGGATCGGGAACGAAAGTTTTTGTTACGGGAACGGGAACGGGAACAAAAATTTTCAATACGGGAACGGGAACACGGGAGCGGGAACCAAAAAAAGTTGTTCCCGCAGGTCTCTACAACCTACTACATCTAATGGCAAGCCTATACTTCAAAATAATTTTAACTAAACGTATTTGCACGAGTCTTTCATCTGTTAGTTTCTTTTCAACTGAGCTCATTCGCAAATGTAGCAGAGCAGATTCCATTGCTAACTATCCTCAATGGGTACTATAAATTTCTCAGATCTATATGATAGTTCGAAAACATGAATATAACTAACGACTCATAAGAAACCATTGTTGAATTGCGTGAACAATCTGGACACTAAAAGCGATTTGCTTTGAGCGCAGCCTGAATATGCTTAGTTCCCTAAGAGAGTCTATTAGAAAAACTCAGTTTTCTTACCTGTATCAGAAATTTCAACTTGATGGCCGATTCGCGTAGGCCGACGTGACGGAGAAGAACATGTTTGAGTTCGTGAACAATAGCATATTTTTCTACAATCGCTTTCATGACAGCACCCAAATAAAGTAGAAACAGTCACACGACAACATCCGATGCATGAATCGATGATTTCAACGCAAGATTCATGACATGAACATTTACAACTACACGGTCGTTTGATGGGTGACGCGATTGGTGTAGGTGAAGGAGTAGCTGAAGATGGTGGTTCACCATCTTCCTGGTTTTGTTTTTCTGGAGAATCAGGTTTTCTTGGAGAATCAGGTTTTCTTGGCGAATCAGGTTTTCTTAGTGAATCAGGTTTTCTTGGAGAATCAGGTGTTCTTGGAGAATCAGGTTTTCTTGGAGAATCAGGTTTTCTTGGAGAACCAGGTTTTCTTGGAGGATCATGTTTTTCCACTTGTGCCACGTGCATTTGTCGATCGCTTTCGTTGAAAGGAGAATGCTTCACGTCTAAATTTGAAAATCGATTGATCAAAATGAGTCTGAACGTGTGGTTGTGGATGTATGAGACAAGTATAAAAACACCGACACACACTCCACAACTATTATTATACGAGAAGATGATAACCGCTATTATCTCATTTCAAATGTTCACACGAGTACTCAAAACTCATATAGCTACATATACGGATAGGGTTCATTCTTTGTCTGCATATAAACTAATTTCTGTTGAGATCAGATTTTATGCAACAACTCTATCCTCGCCTTCACGGTCGCGTGAAACTAAAATTTAACAGTTTTACTCCGACAATATTCCTAGATACGATGCTAACGGTGTTTTTTTTACCATTTCGATAATCAGGATATCTCTCAGCTAACGCAAGTTTTACTTTTCTTGAAAATATATGTTGAAAAATAACGGTTCTTCTCAGCAACCAAGTTTTCAACGAAATATAAGAAGATGACGTTGTGCTGTGTGTTTGTTGGAAACACATCCGCCGTGGCAAACTAATATTTTTCCGAGTCCTTTCCAGGGAATGCGACTGTGGAAAAAATCCACATTTGATTCTGTGAAGCTGCGTGAATGTTGGATAGATTTGAACAGAATGCACTGGATAAAAACCAGTTTCACCAAGACACGTCTGCATAAATTGATGGATTGTAGCTGACAATAAGTTTGTTTATTTGTCTAGCGGCGTATTCTTCGCCTGTAATATAGGTTCTAGGAGAAATTGTTCTTCAAAATGTATTCTTTTTCGTTATTGCAGTGAGATCAAATTTGAGCAAATCATGTTTCATAGAAAGATCTAATACCAGTCTCCTTTTCGAAGCAATAATCTACTCATTCAACACAATTAAATATTCAGAATATCTTAGTTGGTGTAGGATTTGATTCATTCGTGAGAGAAGTGTGTGTTGCTAACATTTCCATTCTCAGTGCACTATGAATTGCGTGGAACAACTAGAAAAGTACTTGACGTAATGCGAAATTGTTTTGATTGGATTTTCCATATAATTAGCGTTACAAATAAAGATATTCAACTCAATCTATCTTCTTCAAACCTAAACTAATTTGCTTTGAGCATACCTTGAATATGCTTACTTACCTGAGAAAATCCAGTAGGAAAACTCAGTACTCTTACCTGTATCTGGAGTTTTAATTTGAGGTTGGATTGGTGCAGGTGAAGGTGATGGAGTAGGACCTGGTGGAGTTCCAGAACAATTACATAGGCCACCACATTTGGTTTTATAACACCATACACATGCTCCACAAAAGCAGACACCTAAGGCTGAAACAAATACACGACAACAACTGATGCATGGATCTACGATTTTAACTGAAGGCATATGACATGAGCAATCACAGGTAGACGATCTTGTGCTGGGCGATGTGCTTGGTGTAGGCAAATAAGAGGGTGGAGATGGTGGTTCACCGTCTTCCCGGTCTGGTTTTTTTGGAGAACCGGATTTTCTTGGAGGATCAGATTTTTCCAGTTGTACAATGTGTATTGGTCGATCGCTTTCATTTAGAGGAGAATGCCGCACAGCTAGAGTTGAAAATTGATCGATCAAAATGAGGCTGATCTGAATTCACTTGAAAATATTACATAAGAATGACTAACGACAATGTAATGAGAATCTAAAGTTCGCTTGCTTTATGTCTTCGCCGGCATATGGAGAATGGTTCACAAGTTTCGACCCTGGACACAAAGTAGTTTATATATGCACACAGAGAATGATCCTTCATTGTATGTATCTACATGAGTTTTCAGTACTCGTGTTAACGTTTCAAATGGCGTAATATTGATTAACACAAGCAAGGAAAGGCAAGGCCTTGAACCCATTTTTTCCTCCTTTGATTTACATGTTCTTTTTTAACAATAGTAATACAAACATGCGTATATGATGTTCGATTTTTTTGTAATCGATCAACAAGAATGTGTGAGAATTTTCAATTTAATGATGAATAAGTATTTGAATAATATAGTGGTATATCAGTGCCCATTTTTTGGGCATCTCGGTTTCTGTGTCACTAATTACATGATGAAACAAAGTATTCGTTGACAAAGGAGTTTACAATGAATAAACAATCATGACCACACTTAAGACTGAACAAGCGCTATGTAGTTCATGTGTTTGCTACTGTTTATCATTTTTTTCTATAAAGAAAATAATAATTAGGATTTATTACAAAAGAGAGATCATTGACATAATCATCAGGTAACTACCATGTTTTTCTGCTTTAAGATTATTCTGCGAGGTTAGAAAAACTCCATACAGGAAGGTCACAGAAAAACATATTGCTTATAAAACAAGAAATTTTCAGATTATGAAATATGCATGCCGTTTGTTTATACACTGTGTATTCGATATATGCTTTGTTTGATCATGTAACTAGTAACAAATAACCCAGATAATCACAGATTGTGTTCTCGCATACCATGATTTTATTTAAACACTTATTCATCATTTAATTGAAAATTCTTAAACATTCTTGTTCATCAATTGCAAAATGTCGTTTATGACATACTAATGTTTATATTCCTGCTTTTTGAAGTGAAGATGTTAGCCGATATTATGCGATTTGAAACGTTGCCACAAGTACTCATCACTCATATAGATACATACAGTGAGGGATTATTCTCTGTACCCATATAAACTAGTTTGGTTTGAGGATCATAAGTTATGTGATATCGTTTATCCTTCTCGTCCAGAGATACACAAAACGAAGCACTAACTTTTCTTTTCTTCGACAGTGTTCCCATATACGACGCTAGCGGATGTTGTTGCCATTTCGTCAATCAGGCGATCTCTCATATAACGAATAACGTTTCATGAAAAGATATATTGAAAAATAACGACTCTTATCAGCAGTCAAATTTTCAATGCCGTTTAAGGAGGCGAAGGTGTGTTATGTGCTTGTTGGAAACACAAGCGCGTTGTATCAGAAAAATATATTCTCGTGTCCTTTTCCGAAAATGCGACTTTGAAGAAAAAATCCATATGTGATTTTGCGGAGCTGCGAGAACGATATATCGACTTCAACAGGATGCAATGGAGAAAGATCTCTCTAACCGACGCACGTTTTCATCAAGTAATACATTTGAACTGGCAATAAGTCTGTTTATTTCTCCAGTGGAGTATTCTTCACCTGTAATACAAGTTCCAGGAGAAATTATCACTTAAAATGTCTTCTTTTTTGTTATTCTAATGAGATCAAGTTTGAACAAGTCATGTTTCATAGAAAGAATAGTATCAGTATGTTTCTTGCAGCAACGATGCATTCATGCAACATAATTAAAAGATGAGAATATCTTATAAGACTTCATGCATTAGTGAGAGAAGTCTCTGTCGTTAACGTCTCCATTCTCAATACACTGTGAGTTGCGTAGAACAATTGGACAAATGCTTGGTCTAATGCGATATGATCTGGATTGTATTTTCAGTTTACTCAACGTTACAAATAAAGATACTCGACTCAATCAACCTTCTTTACAGTTCAACTAATTTGCTGTGTGCATAATATGAATATGCTTACTAAGGAATTTCAAACTGTTCCTGGTCCCCCTCCCGATTCCGTCAGGATCAGATTTTAATTTTAACAGGACCAGGACCGGGAATTAAAACTCACTAAAACTGGTCCCGTAATATTCTCTGTTCAAGAACTAAACTACATATTTTCATAATTATTATTCTGTTCTGACTAATGATCTACAAGTTGGCCTTTTTATTTATTATCGAGATAAAATTATGAATTTCAAAAAAAAACACTTTTTTGATCCTGAACGAATATCACCTTGGAAGCTCTACTAAAAATAGTACTCATAGTTCTGCAGATTCTGAGTTTTGATATTATCAAAGAGACTCTTGATTAAACATGAACTGAAGCTCACTCATTTAGAGTTTGTATCTATGCAAAAACTATGAGCTTTGAGAGAATTTTCTAAGCCACATAGCCAGAACCAAGGAAAATGTTGACGAAGACAAAAACACTAGTGATGTTTTTCTTTAGTTTTGATGCATCCACATAAAAGTATGCTCATACTGTTAATTTCTCAAAAGTATCAATACTCATTTTGAATGTATTCAAAGAATCATATAAATTATTAGAAAAATAGGTTTTTGTTCTAGAAACGAAATCAAGACCAAAAGCAACAAAAAGTTTTAAATGGGACCGAACACGCAATCGTGACCAAAAACAGGATTGTTCCGCCGATTCCTGATGCCCACTTCCCTGAGGGAGTATAGTTCGAAAACTCAGTATTCTTACCTGTATCTGGAGTTTCAATTTGAGGTTGGATTGGTGTAGATGAAGGTGGCGGAATAGAACCTGTTGGCGTAGATGGACGTCGTGAAATAGAGCTTGTTGGCGTAGATGGGCGTTGTGAAATAGAGCCTGTTGGCGTAGATGGACGTCGTGAAATAGAGCCTGTTGGCGTAGATGGATGTTGTGAAATAGAGCTTGTTGGCGTAGATAGACGTTGTGAAATAGAGCCTGTTGGCGTAGATGGACGTTGTGAAATAGGACCTGTTGGTGGTTCTGAACCCTTACAAGGGCGACCGCATACGGTTTCACAACACCATTTACATGGTCCACAAAAGCAAACAGCTAAAGCTGAAACAAATGCAGCACAGCATATGGTGCACGCATTGACGATTTCAACTGGAGGCGCATGACATGGGCACGGACAGTGACACGAACTTGTGCTGGATGATACGCTTGTTGTAGGCGAAGAAGAACGTAAAGATGGTGGTCCACCATACGCCTGGTCTGGTTTTTCTGGAGAATCAGATTTTTCTAGTTGTACAATGAGTATTCGTGGTTCGTCTAAGGGAGAATGTTGTATATCTAGAATTGAAAAGGGATTCATTACAATGAGTCAGATTCGCATTCAGTTGAAAACCTTACATAGGAATGACTAACGACAGTCTAATAAGCGTCTGAAGGTTCCCTGCTTGGTGTCTGCTACTTCATATATACTCTCATCCCTGAGGCCGCAAAAGTTAAAACTAAGTTTCTTGTTTCCACAGTATATTTGAGAGAAGACGCGAACGCAAATTTTTTAATTGCGAATATGACAATCATATGTTTTTTCACGTAATACAAATTTTTGCTGAAGAAGGAATGTAGAAAAATGTTGAGACATTTCAGGTGATACGATGACATGTTGTATATCTAGTCAGAATCAATAACCGTCAGATGCAAAAACAATATCTCGAGTCTCTTCTTTGAAACTATGGTACCAAAATTTCTTAAACAGAAGTTACTTGCTAACCAGGGATGCCGCATAAATTTGTACAGGCTGTTCTATAGAAACACTTTAAAATGGAAACAATTTTCCATAGCTTCACGGATTTCAGATAATATTAAGCCTGTTGCTTCATCTAGAAGCGTCTCAGAGAAACAGTTTCTATCATGAAGTAGAACTAATTGAATTCTCTGTAGAATATCTTTAACAAATTTTACAATGTGTTTAGTGACGGATACACCTTGAAAAGGATGCAAACCAAGCATGACATAGCCTTCATTACAAATAGCTAAGCTACCCAATCTAGTCTTGTTTACGAGTGAGCCTTGTTGAAGAAAATGATGTTCCTAAATTAGTCTGCGCTCAGCTGCAAGAAATATCAGGGAACGGTACCCAGCGAAGCGTAATTTGAGAATCGATAATAAAGTTTCTGTGGATCGTGTGCTTTCTAGTAAATATAAATTCTAGAATAATTCATAAGAAGTTATACTTAGAAACAAAAACGTTTCTACATGAAATCTGGCTTTTTTGTGGTGAGAGACCTTGTGTGCTTTATTTGTTGACAATAGCAGGCAGTTCGTTCCAATAAGAAAAACATTAATCTTATAGAAATGTTATTGTGCAAAAGTTAGATTATACTTCATGGACTAATTTCTCAAGGTTTGTTATATGATGCACCGAGACTGATACGTTGTTGAATGAATATAGTTTGCCTTAAGCAAAGTCTTAAAGGAATGTTGCGTATAACTAACTCGGCTGTTATGAAAAAGAAGTTAATCGATCTTTGACGTAGCAGAAAGAAGTTATAGACTTTTGAAACTAAAGTTCTTCAAAAAACACTGAAAATACAATCTCTGCTATATTCCACTGATAACTTCATCACTTTGTTTCAGATATTTTTCGACTGACCTCTTATTGGGAAAACCTTCAAAAGTGTACTAGAAAATCGATGTTCGAAATTACTGTGGCCTCAATTTCTAAAATTGGATAACAGTAAAAACTTTGAGGTTTTCTCAGACGCTAATTTTTGAATTGACTTCAATGTTGACCAAAAATTGCAGCATGTAATCTTGTGAAGCAAAGAATTCTCTAGAAAGCTTACGGAAAGATTTTAGAAATTATGAAGGACACTAGCTCGAAGTTTGTAACAACAAGATGATCAACAGCCACGAAATTTTCTAGTTTTTGTTTTTTTCAGCAAAATTTTATCAAAAACGTAAGCTGAACTCCTATTTGAAATCAGAATGAAAAGCTACGCGTAGACATGTATTTTTTATGGATACTCGATAATTTATATTCTCAGCTTTTGAAACACTGGGCTAGGGTATCGATGGATATAGGATTGGAGCAAGAAATAATCCTCACCCACACCCAGACCTACTTTCGGGACTTTTTGAGAGATCAGGTTTTTCATCTTGCTTCGTGCTTCTGTTTCGCTGTGGATACTTGCGACGAGGGTGAAATTTTCCCGTTGTAATGGGCCC